TCCTGCAGAGCTCCATTGGCCTTCTCTCTGCACAACAGTACCTGCTATTCCCACTGGGTCAGGGTGCAAAGAAGACTTTCTGTGGGAGAAGAGGAAGTGACCAATTCATCTGGTTGCTCACAGCCTGTGGCAGAGGCGCTGGGGGGGGGTGGTTAAACCTGGATTTTCCAGGATATGTGATCACATGTTCAGTCCAAGCAGCAAACAATCTCTGAATTTCACTTCTTATTCTAGCCCCACCTGATGAGTCAAGATCTTCCTGAAGACTGGGATAAGCAGCCTGTCAAAGTTCTGGTTGGGAAGAACTTTGAAGAAGTAGCTTTTGATGAGAATAAGAATGTCTTCGTAGAGTTCTGTGAGTATCTTCCTACAGCTGATTCCAAGTAACTGGTGTGTGAAAGGAGTGCCAAAATACTGTGTGACCATGATTAGGGAGAAAGCATTTTGCAGAGTCTAGGCCCCAAAGGCAGTGCCTTGGTTGCAAAGATGTGTGTGAATTGTCTGGCTGGGAAAGGGTGGTACCTCATTAGTTTGTTGGTACAGCTCTGTCTCTGTAATTAACAGATGCCCCGTGGTGTGGTCACTGCAAGCAGCTGGCTCCAATCTGGGACAAGCTGGGAGAGATCTACAGGGACCATGAGAACATTGTCATTGCCAAGATGGACTCGACAGCTAATGAAGTGGAGGCGGTGAAAATCCACAGCTTCCCCACACTCAAGTTCTTCCCTGCAGGCCCTGGCAGAAATGTAAGCAGGAGCCGAGCTCGTGTGGTCGCATAGCCAGGGAGCACGGGAATGCTCAGCTGCCTGCTTGAGTTGTGTCTTGGACAAGGCCTTTGGGAGGGCTCTGCATTCTGTTGGGATTGAACACATCAAGTCTACAGGACACCCGAGACCCTTTATGGGGGGCTGTGCTGTAGGGAGATTTTGTGGGGGGTGGGAAGTGGGAATGGGGAGAAGAGGGAGCATAGAGGACGGTGTGCTCATCTGCAGGCTATTCTTTCCTCGCAGTGATCTCTGAAGTCTAGTGGCTGAGCTGTTTTCCTTCGTCTCATATGGGTGAAGGTGAATTTTTCAATTCCCTTTTGCTTGGCATGTTCACTGTTGCTCAGAAAGAGAATTCTCCTCTCCAGGGGCGTGGGTCAGTAGCGCCCATAACCAGTATCCTCATGTTTTCCCTCTGTAGGTCATTGACTATAACGGGGAGAGGACGTTAGAAGGCTTCAAAAAATTCCTGGAGAGCGGAGGTCAGGACGGGGCAGCAGCTGATGATGTGAGTAATGTGAATGGATCACTCTGGGCCTTGAGAACACTGAGCATGGGTCAGATCTGGTGCTGTGCCCGAATCCTCAGTCCTAAGTAAGGTCCTGGGTTGTTATGTGGCAGGAGAGGATATTGCTGGTGAACAAAAGTGACCTGTTCAGGTGCAGTGTGACCTGTTCAGGTGCTGCCTGGCTGGCTGTGAGCCTGCAATGGGCTCCTTTTCCAGAGAGCACCCAGTGGGTGTGCGAAGCAGCAGTGCTGGGGTTGTGCACTGCTGGGGCACTGAGAGCTTGTTCCCTAGGGAACTCCCGCTCAGCACCTGGAACTGGGCTGTGGGATCAGTGCTACATACCTGTGTATCTAGTTGGAAGCTCCTCACTAGATGTTTTGTTAACGTGGCAGCAGAGGGTAGTGACCAGATTAGAGCTGCAGCTCTGTGCTTGGTTCTGGATCTGCCTCACGTGCCAGAAACCAGGAGCTATCTGTAACCCCCACAGGATCTGGAGGACCTGGAGACAGATGAAGAGACGGACCTTGAGGAAGGTGATGAGGATGAGCAGAAACTCCAAAAGGATGAATTGTAAAGAGAAGACTGATCTACATCACCCAAAAAATCAGACACTAAATTGGCTGTTGTGATGCAGCCAGGGAGTCAGAAACCCATTAAGATTTAAAGCAGAAGGTGAATGACTGGAAATCCAGGGATTGGCTTTTAAAGTAACACTTTACCCTCACTTGTCTGTACACTTGACTTTTTTTTCTTTTGGCTTTTGAGAAGGGAGCTGTCACTAGGGAGCCAGCCCAGCCAGCTGGGCTCTTTTTTTTTTATTGTGATGTACTTTTTTGTACACAGCTTTTGTCTGGAGTATTCTGTTCTTCTGGGCAGCAGGAGGTTGTGAGGTGTTACCAGGAGTTCAGTGGCCTGACAGTCTGGAGCCTTGCCACTAACATCTTCCAAGAAAGCTTTTTTCTTTTTCTCTTTTAAAACTAAAGCCCATAATTGATTTCTGCACCTGGCAGGGTCCGTAATAGCCTCAGCTGTTCTTCCCTGGGGTGGGCCTTCAGTATTTGTAGGGGCAGAGGCAGAGGGCTGATGGCTTCCTGGGGAAAGGTGTATGTGAAGGTGCTTCTCTTCATGGTGGCCAGATGTTCCTTTCCCCTCTGCTTTAAGACACTTGGAGATGACAATTCCAAATACCTGGAAGGGTGAAATACTGTGTGCACTGGCTGTGGCAGGCTCTGAGGGTGGAGATGGCCACTGGCTCACCAGCAGTGTCTCCATCCTTTTGATCAAAGGCAAGACTTGCGATCCCTTTCTATGAATTATTTTGGGTGGGCTGACCTGGCAGGTGGGTGGTGGGGGAGGGCCTGATAAACAGATCAAACAGGACATTTGCAATTATTGGGGTTTGGGAACATGACTGGGGGAGTGCCTCAAAGGCCTGAGCTGCATCAGCCTGGTTCTTAGCATTCTGCTACAATAACATTGGTTGGTACTGAATTTGACGGCCAAATAAAGTTGAGATTTTAATACTATTACATCTCTTGGTCTTTATCAAAGTATAGAATATTTGAACCTGCCCTGCAAAGGGATCAGAGTTGGAGGCTGAGTCTTGAGGGACTCTGCTACAATGGGGTGTGAGTCAGCTTTCTCCACATAATTGATAAAGGATAAAAAAACTTGCCCAAGCCCTGTCCAGATTCCATGGGCTTGTGCAGGTGCTCTGTTAGGGGTGAGTTGGCTCTGGGAGCGTGTGGCCCCTGGGCCAGCTGGCTGGCGTGAGGGGACCTTGCTCTGGACCAGTGAACCAGGGCATGCTGGGGCTGCTGTGGCTCTGCCAGCCAGGCTCACATGACCCTGTGAGCCACACTGCTATTTCCAAACATGCTGCTTGCTGCTGAAGGTATTTTGGTTTGAAAATACGCTATAAATGTTACAGGGAGGGCACAGTAAGGCTAGAGGGCAACTGGGGGAGCTATTGGTACCTGTCACTGAGGAGGGGTGTGCCGAGGCAGTGGCACAGGGGTGTTGGACAACACTTGTCTCTCAGTCTCCAGCTCTAGCCTCCTAGGCAGGGTCCCAGCCAGTGTTGCACCCCAGCAGAGCAGGCAGTGCTGGTGGCCTGGGCTGGTTGGTGACAGCTGCCTTGTGTTTTGGGGTGGGGAGGAAAGGAGCCCCACTAGCAAGAAGTTCCACTGGAAGGTGCTGTCTAGGACTCAGCTCAAAAAGGTCCATTTTGTGGAGCCAGTTGAAGTGTAACCAAGTCTGAGCTCTGCAGTGATTCTCTTCTGTTCCTGGGCTGAGACTTGCTGTGCTCAGCTAAGAGGAGGGGGCTCTTCTAGTGCAAGGCACCTTGTGGCAGAGCAGGACTTCAGCAGCCATCTCATGTATGTGGCTAATTGCTGTTCCAAGAAAGCAGGCTGGAAGTGTTCTGTCCCCAGTGCCATGTTCTGGCTGATGTAACCCCGAGCAGACAGTCGGCCAAGAGATCGATGTTTGCCAGCAGATAAACAAGGGCAGGAGTTCTCAGGTGTGTGGCTCACCACGCTGCTGGGGTTGAGGCAAGGGTCTGCTGCAGGAGAGGCAGAGTGAAATCCCTGACTCCTAAAGCAGCACAGGGATTTTTTCTGACACATCTGCCTGGACAATCCCATCAGTACAACCCGGAGCACAAAATGCTCATGTGTCTGATATGCCCAAACTTTAATGGGTAAAAGCAGTAGTTGCTTGAATGCTTGATGGACCTGAGTGATTCCTCTGTGGCAGGTGGTCTGTTTTGGGCCTGTGACAGTGTAGCTGGAGAGTACTGGAGGCAGGAATTGTCTGGTGGTGGTGCTGTTCTTCCACTGTTCCTCTGAGGCTGCTCGAAGCAGTCTGTCCTCACCAGCAGCTGCTTCCCAGTCTGAAGTAGGACATGGAATATCAGGGACCAGCAGTGCAGGCTTCTGGTTCTGCATCTGCCTCGGAAGCATCAGCAGTACCTCTGTCCTCACTAGAGCACAGGGGACACCTCATTCACCGGTCGCGTTCTCCGTGCTGGGCTGTGCGCCGTCGCAGTCGTGCTGGGCAGCGCTGCTCCTCCTGCTTCTTTCAAGTTGTCCCATGCAGCTACAGAAGGGTGAACAGCTCTGGATGCATTTGGCACCACAGCCCTGGCATGTCCGCACTGTGCTGGCCGGTCAGGACATGAGCGGCCAGTTCCCTCTGTTGGCAATCGTGCCTGTGTCCCTTCTCCCAGGAGGGCTTGTTGCTGGGAAGTTGCTTCCAGGCTCCCCTGAAGGGCTATCCATACAAGAGTAGATTTGACCCCTTGGATGGGCACATCAACAGGTGGGTGTAAGATGAGACACCAACTTCTGCCCAAAAGTGGGAGGCTGTGGGCCTGGGCGGCTCAATTACTAAGCATCATGGCAAATAGCATGAGCTGCATGTCCCCAAAATAGCCCAGGGAAGCCTTTATAACACGGTGCCCCCAGAGAACCATCAGTCCTGGGCCTGCGGGCCTGCGGGTGAGCTGCGAGTACCAGGTGCCACCTCCTGCATGCAGCTTGGGAGTGTAGGAGGGCACGGTGGCTGTCACTTCCCTGCGGTGAGGGGACACGTGCCGGCTGGGGACACGGACACGGCGGGAGCACAGCAGTGTGGGGAAAAGCACAGCTCTGAAGCAAGGAGAGCCCTGACAGGCAGAAGAAGAGAGAGCAGGGCAGTAAGGGGCTGGGCTGAGCGCTAAGCAACCCCTATGCCACTGTGCCTGAAGGCTGCTGCCAGCATGAGGGACTACTGCCCCGTGTCGGTGCCCCGGTATGGCCGGTACACCCCGCGCCTGAGGGCCTCGCGCACTGTGCACTTCCCCAACGACGTCGTCTTTCAGGACCACATCAAGCAGGGGGACCTGGAACAGGTGGGCAGGTTCATACGAGCCAGGAAGGTGACGCTGGACACCATCTACCCCTCTGGTGAGTGCTGCCGGGGTCAGCAGGGCCGGGGCAGAGTGGTGGCACAGCTTGGTAGGGCCCTGAGGGACATGGAAGCCAGGCCATGGGCCACCTTTGGCAGAGCTGGAGTGAGCTGGGTCCCTCCCTAGTACGGAGCAGTGCCCTCAGCATGGCCCAGCAGGGCCCAAGAGCCAGGACCCCAATATCTCCCCTCAACAGCACGGTCAGCGCACACTGTGGGAAGGGGGGAGCTTGGCCCCAAGGTCCCTCCAAGGCCCAACAGAGCACCTGCAGTGCGGTGAGACTTCAAAGAGCAGCAGCAAGCACAGGCTGGTCTGTGAGCTCTGGGCAGGACCCCTCCTGTCTTCACCCCAGCTTGAGGAAGAGTGGGGAAAGGCTCTGCATTTGTTCTTGGCTCTGCCCATTTCTCACAAACACTGCTCCCTCTTGCATGTCTGGCTCCGGGGACTCATGGGGAAGGCTTTGTATTCTGTTTGCACCCAACCTCAACAGCAACTGTTTATGGAATGCCTTGATCCATATGGGCTGATGCAGAGCCCAGATTTGTCCTTTTCTTGTGCTTGGCTTCAGCTTCTGCTGTCACATGGCCACACAGACAGGCTCAAATGACCCCAGGCTTCCTCCTGTCCATACTGATTCTTAATTAGTGAGGACCTTCCGAAACTCAGGCAAAGCAGGACCCCAGAGACTTCTTGTGTCTGTGTTTGAGTCCCAGCCAGGACTCAGGGCAGCTGCTCTGAGTACAGGGCAACTCCTTCTCCCTCCCTCTGTCCTGTCTGGCCAGGGCAGTGGTGCCCCAGACAGGGTATTTTTGTTGCAGAAGGGGAAGAGGAATCCGTGGCAGCTCCTCTGGCTTCCTCAGTCTTTGTTTCTTTCCCTACAGTCTTCTCCCTGAGCAGGAGGCTTCCTGGCACCCCTTTCCTGGGCTGTGCACAACCTGCACTTGTGAGCTCAGTATGGAGAACCCTTCCCCAGGCCAGGGCTAACACCTCCTGTCCCTCCAGGCATGGCAGCTCTTCACGAGGCCGTGCTGACGGGAAACCTGGACTGTGTCAAGCTCCTGGTGAAATACGGTGCCGACATCCACCAGAGAGATGAGAACGGCTGGACACCCCTGCACATGGCCTGCAGCGATGGCTATGCTGACATAGCCAGGTGAGGGGCTGCGAGGGTCCCCGGTGCTGCAGAGCCCCAGAACCGACAGCGCCGGGATGGAGCGGGGTCTGGGCGGCTCCTCCTGGGGGGTGCCCGGTCCCTGCGCTGCCCCCAGGACTGTTCGGGCCGCGCTGCTCCCGGTGCCGGGGCTGTGGGCCCGGGGATGCCCGGCCCGGCGGCTCAGCTCCGTGTCCTGCAGGTACCTCCTGTCCCTCGGGGCCAGCCTGGAGGCCACCACCGACGACGGGGAGAAGCCCTCGGACCTCATCGACCCCGAGTACGAGGACCTGGTGCAGCTCTTCGGAGCCACCGCGCTGCGCTGAGGCGGGCACGGCGAGGAGCGGCCCCGAGGGCCGGGGCGGCGGGGCTGCGCCCACCCGAGGGCCGGGGCTGGGCCCAGGCTGGGCCTGGGCGGCGGCCGGGCAGCGGCGCTCGGTACCGCGAATCGGGAACCACTTTGTACTTTTCCAATAAAGCATCTCGGTCACCGCCTCCGCCGGCTCTTGCGCCGGGCATGGGCCGGGGCTGGGGCGGGGCCGGTAGCGGGGCTGGGCGGGGCCGAGGCTCGGTCGGGGCGGGGCCGGTACCGGGGGTGGTGCGGGGCCGGTACCGGGACTCGGTCAGGGCGGGGCCGGGGCCGGCGCTGGGCGGGGCAGAGAGGCGGGGGCGGGGCCGCGCCTGCGCGCTGCGGCGCTTCCGTGCGGTGTCGCAGGCGGGCCCGGTGCGGGCCGCGCGTTGCCCGGCGACGGGCGGGGCCCCGCGGCCTATCCCGGCCTGGCTCCTCGCCTTCCTCCCGCAGTCCCGCCGCTCCCGCCGAGCGTCGCCGCACCCGCCGAGTGCCGCCCCGCCCGGCCCCGCCGAGCGCCGCCGCCGCCATGGCCAGGTGAGTCCCGCCCGGCCCCGGGCCTAGCGCGGCCCCGGGCCCGGCTCAGCCCCCTCGCGCTCCGCCCGCAGCTCCCCCGTGTCCCGAGTGGTGTACAACGGGAAGCGGAGCGGCGGCCCGCGCTCCCCCGGCGCCGGCAGCGAGATCTTCACGCCGGCCCACGAGGAGAACGTGCGCTTCATCTACGAGGGTGAGCGGGGCGGGGGCCGCTGGGCGGAGGGGGGCGCGGGGGGCGTGGCGCGGCCGAGGCGAGCGGCCCCTGTCCCTATCCCCGCAGCCTGGCAGTGCGTGGAGCGCGACCTGCGCAGCCAGATGGGCTCCGAGCGCGGCCTGGTCGAGGAGTACGTGGAGAAGATGCCGAACCCCAGCCTGAAAGGTGCGGGGGTAGGGTGCACCACCGCGGCTGTGACGGCCCGGGGGCTGCGCGGGCTGGGCGGGGGCTACATTGCCTCTGCCGCCAAAGTCTCTTCCTGTCTCCCCTGCAGCGTTTAAACCCGTCGACCTGGGTGATCTGAAGAGAAGGAACACACAGGATGCAAAGAAGTCCTAAGGCGGGTCCTCCCTGTGGATCGGCTGCTCTTCTAAGGTCCTCAAGCAGATTTAAGTTGAAATTTTGTGTTGATTTCCTCCTCTGGTCTGTGCTCCCAAAAGCTCACGGGAGAGCCAGTCAGCTTTGGGGCTGGCTCTGAAGCTGCCTGAGGTCGAGGATGCTCAGCGGCTTACCAAGGCTGCCCAGAGCCTGTTGCAAAGGATTCCAGTCCCCCACTCATAGCTTTCTTTGGCCTCAAACTGTCCTTCCTCCCTTCACACTGAGCTCCCCGATCTCCCGTACCCCTTCTGCCGCCGCCCCGGGCGCTGGGCGGGGCTGGGCTGAGCGGATGGGCAGTGCCAGGTCTGTGCACCAAGGCCCCGCAGCTGCTGGGGTGGGATGTGGGCAGAAGGGACAGTCGGGTCTTTCCCTGTGCCTCATCCGGCCTGCTTGTGCAGTTCAGGGCTGGGCAGGCTGCAGCCAGGCTGCTCCTAGCTCCACTGTGGCAGCAAGTTGCTGCCTGGGCTGCCGGAGCACATGGGCCACATCCGAGGTTGGATTTTCCGTGTGCTTAGAGCAGGCTAAGATCCCTGTGGTGCTTGAGGGGGGGTTGTTCCCCTCCTTGCAGATGGAAAGAGGTGTGGTGTCCCGCCTCAGGTGCCTGAGAGGTGCTCAGAGGGGCCCGAGCCACCTGCAGCCCCCTGGCCTCGGTGCCTCGGCAACCCCACGGGAGGCAGCAGCCGTGGGGCTGCACGGAGCGAGGCTCGGGGGCTCCTCACCCCAGCAGCGCTGCAGTTTTGTACCAATACCATTTTCCAGATACACACCCTTGGAAGAGACCTGGCCCCACAGCTCGCCCTGGGGGCTGTAGGTGGTGGAACTGTGCTGGGGGGCCTTCCTTGGGCCCCTCGCTCCTGGCAGGGCTCAGGTGGTTCCTGCATCATTGCCTGAGCTGGGGAGAGCAACTGTGCCACCCTTGCCCACCTGAGCCACGGGGCCACTCCCTGGGGAGGTGGCAGCCCCCTGCCTATCTGTGCTCCAGGCCAGATGGGGCTGGTGGGCCTGCCCAGTGCCAGCGGCTGCGGGAGGGCTGCGGGGACTGGGGGCTGCCAGTGGGGGCTGCCAGTACCTTTCCTTTGTTGAGTCTTTAAGCTGTGCCGTTCCCTTTCCTTTCTCTCTGTGGTCTGTCACTTGAGGAGTGTTGTAAATAAACGCTGGTGTCCTTTTGGGGCTGCCTCGATGTGGTGCTGCGGCCTGGCCCTGCTCCTTGTGCTGGGGATGGGGGGCAGAGAGCAGGAGCTGCCTCTGATCTGTGTTTATTTTCCGCAAAGGGGCCCTGGCCTCGCACTTGCTGGGGCTGTTGATTTCCCCATGGGCAGGTGCAGTGGGCACTGCGTGCTGGCAGCACAATGCCCTTGGGCTCGGGCAGCGCTCCAGGCACCCAGCATCCCAGGGGCTGTTACTGCACCCAGGATTTAAATGTTGAGACTATTAATACCCTTGTATCCTCTTCCCTCTCCTGCTTTAATGGCATTTAAGCTATACTTAGCATTGCTAGAATTTCTGCTCGCGTGCATCTCGACGCTTGCCATGACCCTGTTTACCTCCCATCACCAAAACATTCCTGGGACTGCTGCCTGATTCCAGCACGGTGGGATGAGAACTCAGCCCCTGTTGCCACCACAGCTGCCCCAGGCACGTGTACCTGCAGCCACAGACAGTGGGGTCGGGAGGTGACAGTTGTCACTGTCACAGTCCCTCTCCACCTGTTCTGGTGATGTACCCCATGTTTGGGGAGCCTGACAGGCCAGCAGAGCTGGCTTGAAGCCCTGTGTATGTCCAGAGCTGTGTCCATGTGTCCCAAGGGGATGGGAAGGGGGACCCATCCCAGCTGAGTGTGGTGCCCACCCCTGGGCCAGGCAGGCTACTGTCCATCTGCCACAAAGCTCAGCACCACCCCCGTGTCTGGGCACTCACCTGAGGCTGTCCCGGGGGCTGCAGTGGGGCCCCCAGGGGCACATGTGGGTCCTGCAGCCTCACCAGCCTCTGCCTCGTTTTCCTCTCAGCTCGGGCACAGTAAAGCCAGAGGCAAAGCAGCCACTTGAGCTCTAATGAAATGTACAAAACTCATTCTATAAACAGGAGATTTTTATAAAGACTGATACCAAAACACAGGGTGAGGGCAGTGACACAGTTGGGGGAGGTGGCGGGGGGGTGGCGGGGGGTGCCCCTGCAAGGGGTGAGGCCGCCAGCCAGAGAAATCAAGCTGTTTACTTATAAAAATCGACCTCGGCAGGGTTTATTTCCCTGTGCCTCGGACACGGTGCTCTTCATTAGATTAAAGGGTGGGAGGAGGAGAGGAACGTGTTTGTCATTGGATTAGGCAGTGAGAAGAGGCCCGGCAGCAGGCAGAATCGACTTTGCAGACCAATTTGTGGTGCTCAATTCCCTTGATAAAGTGGGAGTTTTCCTGTGAGGCACCGTGCCCTGGGGTGCCTGGCTGTGCCGGGGCGGGGGGCGCTGCCCGGGTGCCCGGCTGTGGATACTGGGAAGCTGCTGGCCAGCTCATGTGGCTCTGTGGGAGGTGGGGGGTGACCAGGGCATGGGGCTGCAGGCTCAGCCCTGCGGCACAGGCAGTGCCCGGCTGTGGGGCACACCTGGCTGGTGCAGGTGCTGTTGGATGTGCCCTGGCGCAGGCAGACATTGGGTGCTTGCACGGGGCTCCCAGCCATCAGCAGACACTGTCCCTGCTCGGGGCTGATGGGCACCAGGCACCGTGGGACATGGGGCTGTCCCTCAGCACCAGGGGACGCAGGATGTTGCCACAGGACACCCCATAGGCTGGGGCTGGCTTGTGGTCACTGGAGGGTCCTGTCATTGTGTAGCACACATGGAACCACCCTTCCTGGGCAGGGTCTGGAGATCCCCCTCTCCCCAGTGCAGTGGGACAAGCCTGGTCCCAGCGGGGCATTGGGGGTCGACAGCAGGGTGTTGCCACAGCAACACTGGAGCAACAGGCGCAGGGCCCGGCACCGCGCCATGACCATATTTACCTTCCCAGAAACTGCTTCGTGCTCCAGCAATTTGCCTCAATTAGGCTCGTTACCACGTCAGGAGGCCGCAGTGACGGCAGTGGCCATTGGGGCCAGTGGCTCCACGCGGCTGCTCTGGCCACTCTGGCACTGTGGCTCTGAGCAGGGTGATCCCTGTCCCCCTCTCTATCCCTGTCCCTGCTCCTGCACCTGGGGGCCTGGGCAGACCCCAGCCCCTATGTTCCACTCACCTTGCCCGCTCCACCACAGCCCCACAGTGCTGCTGCCACAGCCCTCCAGCCCCACAGCCCCAGACCCTCTGCCCCCATCCCTGCTGTGCACATTCCCACTGCCAGTGCTGCAGTGGGCACTGGGTCCCATTCAGCTGGGACAGACAGTGAGTTGTCGAGTAAACAGAGGAAAATTACTGCGTGCTGAGCCGGGTGCTGCTGCCGGAGCCAAGTGCTTCGTGGCCGGGGCCACAGCTGCCCTCCTCGTGCCCCGCTGACGCCTTGCCGTGGTCTGGGACCCCCACCACCCCCCGCAGACAGCGTGGCTCCTGCTGTTCCTCGTGCTGGCCGGTGTGGGCGGCACTGCTGTGGCCATGGGGTGCGGGTGATGCTGGGACAGGGTGGGACTTAGCAAGAGGGTGGCTGCCCACCCAGAGCTGCTGTTTACTGTGTGGGGTTGCTGGGGCTGCTGGGGTGCAGATCCAACTCTCACCTGTCACTCAGCACATCCCCTGCTCCGAGCTGCGTGTGGGGCCTGGAACCATGGCACGCTTGGGGCCAGGTGTAGCAGTGTCATGGGTGATGGGCAGTGCCCATGCCCGGGGCTGTGGGCAGCGGGGGTCACAGCAGGGCAGTTGTCACCCTCAGGCACGGTGACCCCAGCAAGGGAGCAGCACCTGTCTAATCCCCACACACCAGGCGATTGTGGTGCCCAAAGCTGTGGCATCCGGGCTTAGCGCTCATGTGCGCAGCACAAGCCTCTTAGGGCACCGCTGTGCCCCCTCCCTGCCCTGGCCAGCCCGGCCCACTGGCACAGGGGTCCCTCAGCCCCACACTCCGCTGCTACTCACGGCACTCAGCGCTGCCGGTGGCTGCTGCCCGGCCGTGGGCTGGGCCGGCTCCCGGGAGAGCGGGGGTGCCGTGGGCAGAGCCAAATGATTTAATTAAGGGCTCCTGGCAGCGAAAGGACAGAGCCGATTAGCGGCCAGAGGAGAGCGCGTGCTGGGGGAGCTGGAGCCTCGGCCGGCAGCACTGCAGTGGCTGCTGCTGCATGCCTGCCCCTCTCCTCTGTGCAGGGCCATGGGGCAGGCAGCGGGGCTGGAGGCAGCAGGCAGGCAGTGGGTCTGTCTTCTGGTGCAGCTCATCCCTGCCAGGTGGCCCAGCTCCCAGTCCATGGCTGCGGCCATCACCCGTGGGTGCTAGTGGGAGCACAGTCCCAATGTGTCTGATGTCTCTGGAGTCCCCAGTCCCCACACCCCACAGAGAGCCACACACGGAGCTGGCCCTGCAGCCCGGCACGGGCCCACACCTATTTACAGATAGGACAGATAAATTACAGCACTGTGCACAGGGACTCAAAGGCGCACGAGGGCAGCACCACAGGACAAACTCCTACCCCCAGCCCCCCCAGCCCCACAGATCCCACCCCAGAGGTCGAGGTCCAGGTCCCACTCGCCTGCCCCATTGTGTCCATTGTCCATGCGCTCAGCGCAGCACCCTCACCGGGCCGGCGGGTCCCGGTGCCTGCCAGCGCCTGGGGAGGACAGGGCAGGGGACGACAGCACGCCACTGGCTCAGCACAGCCCTCCCGTCTGGCCGTGGGCTCAGAAGTGGCTCTCGGCCGTGGTCTCAGGGAACTCGTAGCAGTGGTGGCGATCTCCCAGGGCGAGGTGCTCAGTGGTGCCGCGCCCGCTTCTCTCGGGGCGGTGGGAGCCGGGGTGGGGGGCCAGGCTGTGCCCCAGCCCGTTGGTGCAGCCGCTCACCAGCTGGTGCTTCTCGCAGGCGCTGCCGGCGCCGTTGCGGGCGCTGGGTGCGTGGCTGTAGGTGTGCCTGTACTCCTCAGCCAGGTCCCTCCCCAGCTTCCAGCGCTGCCATCGCTTCAACAGCTCTGCCTGCACCTGTGGGTAGATGCCATCAGCACAACCCAGCGCCCCTGCTGCCCCTGCCCCCGCTGTCCTACTCACCTCCTTATTGACAAAGCAGTAGAGAATGGCCACCAGCATCCCCTGGGTGGAGGGAGGAGAGGTGTGAGGCACACAGCCAGACCCCAACCTGGTCCCTACCGAGACTGAGTCCCCACAGAAGGCTGGTCCTGCAAAGGCTGGGCTCACCTGGAAGGAGCTCAGGAAGAGGTCGAAGAAGAGCTTGACATAGCGCAGCGTGCCCTGGGCGTGCTCATCTGTGACGAAGGCAAAGACCACCTCGTGGATGCCCAGCAGCGGGATCAGCGTCAGCGTGGACTTGGCCAGCCTGGGGGACAGGGGTCACGAGGTGGACGCACAGGCGTGTGTGCCGCGGGCACGCAGGGTGGGCCATGCCCAGCGCCCACCTAAACTTGTAGTCAGTGTAGCGCATCTGGTGCGCACGGAGCTTGGAGACAAGGATCTGGATGATGCGGATGAAGATGAAGAAGTTGATCTGCAATGGAATGGAGTGTGCCATGAGGGGCAGGGGCAAGGGCAGGCAGGACAGCTTTTCCCCCTGCCCTGGGCAGCCTCTCTCACAGCTGTCTCAGGGCTTGCAAAAGAGATGCTGAGACACCAAGTGAGGGGCTGTGATGGGCTCACCAGGATGGCCAGGAACACAGGGAAGCGAAGGATCCACCAGAAGCCCATGTTGTTGTTAGTTGACCAGCACCTGCAGAGGGGAGGGATGGGGACTGCCAGGAAGCCCCTTGACCAGGTGGCTGCTGGAGTCTGGTGTGGCATCGGCAGCCCTGGCTGAGCAAGCGCCACGGGCAGGCACCCTGCCCTTTGCATGGGCAGTGGTGTGGAGCCTCTCTGGGGCCATCACAACATCCCCACAGTCCCACACACACCCACTGTGCCCTGTGTTCCCTCAGCCACTGGCAGGGGCTGATACTCACTGGATGTTTTCGTAGAGGAACTTCACAACGACCCAGGGGATGAGGAACAGCACGGGTGCCCCTGAGGGGAGGTGGGCAGGTGGCAGGTGAGGCATGGCAGGGGAAAGGGTCA